CCCCCTACTCAAGTTCAGATTATATATTTCTCAATTTTCTACTCGCACACAGCAGTTATTTGCATGTTTACTCAGAATTATATCTCACACTGTTCACTGGGATTTACTCCCTTAAACAGCAATCTTATCACGTCTTTTCTGATAATACACCCTCTTAAGGAAAATACTTCTGAAGTATATAGAAAGATCATGGGAGCAGAGATAAAATTATAAGGCCTGCATAAGTATATCATCACACAAATGTCATGACTTATACATTTGAATCAAATGCCAGGATGTAAGTATGGAATAGCATTTGCACAATAATGTCATTCTACACATCATCATTTTGGAACCAGCAGAAATTTCTATAAGCACAGCTTGTATGGTGAACTATATCCTGCAGTAGTGATAGTACTTCAGAGCTATTATAGTCATACTGCAAAGCTGAAGAGAGAACAGTAAAATTTGAAGAAAGAAGTAAACAAAAAAGTTAAATCTTTAAAGAAAGAAAATATGATAGAACAGAAAATACATTGCTATTTTAATTTATTTGGTAACAAATCCCAAGGCTATCTCTATGAAATAATGGGGATGATAAAAGCATCTAGAAAGAAGTTTTAATAGAATCTAGCAAAATTTTCCTATGTTAACTCTACATGAAACAGAACCTACAATTTATTTCACATTGTATAGACCAAAAGGCAGTAAATAATTTTCATTATTCACTATCATGATTGCTTCGAGGATATTAAATGGAGTCAAGAATCATTTGTACCAAATGATTAGAAAGCTTAGAAAAACAGTTCCAAGAATGTTGGTGTTTTATTTCGGTATGCTCAGGAAGGCACCAGGCTAGCAGTCTTTCCTCACAAATTCAGCCGTGACAAATCTACTCTTTCCAAATAAAACTTTTTAAATGTTTTCATTTGCAGTTAGTGTTGAGTTGGTTTACATCCCTTACTCTCTACATTTTTTTTCTTTTTGTGACCCTTTAATCCCTTTTATCAGGGTGAACTCAGGGTGGGAATGGAGCTGAGAATTTACTGGATGGATGCCCTTCCTGAGTCCTACTCAGAGTTTACTCAGATATTTTCTTTTTCTGCCCTGATAAAAACACATCTGTCACTGCCTAGTATTGAACTCTCAACCTTCCGAGTGGGATGCAAGCATCTTCACTTTTAGGCCACCACACCACTCACTCTCTATATACTAAGGGCTTTTATAATAGGAAGATCAGCATATCTATATGTATATATCTATATATCTATATATAGATATATAGATAGATAGATATATCTAGATATAGATATATATATATATATATATATACCATTCCATTCTCCATGCTCCCTTCTTTGTACATAGCTATAATGAAAATAGTACATTTGTGCTAAACACCCTTGTAGTTCACTTAGAACAGACATGTCAAACTCGCGACGTCACATGACGTCGCGCAATGTATCGGGACAGCTTTGCCATTGCTGGCAACGGGGTGGGCGTAGCTTCCACGTGACGCATCCGGCCCAGAGGCCAGCAGTTTGACACCCCTGACTTAGAATGACTCCACTTCACAACCATGGTAAAAACAATCCTTAAATCAATTCTATCCCTAACAACTCCTAAGGAGGGAGCTGTTCCTTATTTATTTGGAAATAAGTTCAGTGTACACCTAAAGAGGTTTCTTATCTTATCCCTCATCTCAGGCAGCCAAAACATCAAAACAGCAAGTCTGGTAAAAAGACTGTCTTGAGTAAAGTGCATGCAATTGCTAACTGAGTTTCAATAACATCCTGCCAAACCTATTTATTTATTTTTTATTCTGCTTTTCTTTCATTTCATGTAACTCAAGGTGGCAAACCTAATACTGCTTCCTCCTCCTATTTTTAACAGTTTAGGAATATTATTATTTCATTGCTTCTTCACCTTTAAAGGCTGCTCTAAATTCCCCATCCCTTCAGCAAGTGGAACAGGAAATATCACTAATCATATCTCATTCCCTTCCTTGACAGGGTAATTGGTTTGATGGATAAGGGGAATGCAATATATATAATGTGACTTTGGCAAGGCCTTTGACAATTCCAGATGGCATTATCAAAAAATAATTGGAGAACTGTGAGCTGGCAGATGGCTACAGCAAGGTAACAAATTCCATGGGGGTAGTTGTGCTACAAAACCAACAAAAAGTGTTATGGCAACTTAGATATTAACTATTTATTGGGAGATAACTAAGGGCTCTTAAAGTTCTCTACATCAGATAGTCAAAGCAATTTATTCCTAATTAAAGCACCCAAATATCTGTATAATAACATAGAAATACATCTTCACGATATAATCATACAAGGAAATGTCTAAATTGAATAGAATGAAAAGTTTTGATAAATTCAAGTTTCCCAAAAATCTTCCTTATAGTAGTTTGAGGTCATTGCAAGATATAGTAAACTGAAATAGTTTGTGATGGTTGACTGTCAGTGTTTCATTTGTGTCCATTTATTTTCTTGCTTAAAGGCAGCCTATTTATTTTGTACAGATAAAAATCAGAATTGTTGACAAGTGAAGGAAGCAATTAAATTCTGGATGGAAATAGGTATTACATTTGCAAAAATTGCCTTAACCTATATAAAATTTAATGTTTTCTTGCATAACCTCTGTCATCTTCTTTACTACTAGCAAACAGTTGTTTTGAAGGTAGCATTAGCCAAGTGAGGTAAAATAAAACAGAGGAAGCTGCACCGCTCTGCTTCATATTAACCTGCAACTGTATCTATTTTGTTTAAATGAGTTACATCCTTGGAGAAAAATTGGTTGCTTTAGATTTTCAAAGAATCCTTTCTCAGCCACATACCTTTCCTAGAAATATTTTCTTCTGTGACTGGAGGATTTAAGAGAAAAGAAGCACTTGCCTTTAGCATCTCATGCTAGAGAACAAAAGTAATTGTGTGAGGTATGTGTACATAATGTATAGTTTGAGGCACTGGAAGTTGTTGGGTTTTTTTTAATATTGATTCCTATGTTTTTATTATTTAAATATATTTATTTTTTTTAAAAAAATATCTCCCATTAAAAACAAAATTAGACAATTATTAGTCTAATTAATTTGCATAAAATATTTAAAGTATCTTTCAAAGTGTATCTTTCAAAGTATTTTCCTTAAGCTTGTTGTGAAATCTGTTTATCCATTTGTTTAAGTATTTACATCCAAACTTCTGAAATAAATCCAAGGGAGTTTTCAATATTTTAAGAAATAGAATTTGTACAAATTGCAAATAAATAAGAGTCTATGTACCTATGCATCTATGCATACATGTGTGTAGTGTTATATTAATAAAATTATTTCAGTCACATACAGAATACATGTGACAACATGGATACTTCACAAAACATGATAATGTTACAAATGTTGTATTTAAAATATTTGTATTTCATAATTTGTGCTAAAACGCAACAGCTTATGTAATATTCAATAGTAGCATGTGCAAAATACACTTAAACGCAACTTGTATGTATTATCAATTTCTTTTTACAATGCATATTCTAGACTAAAATAAATAATACTAAATAAATTTCAGGAAAAGCAAACATGAAAGAACAATGTTACAAGCTTTCTCTTTGTTATATCCTAAGGCAGGCATGTTAAACTGCTGGCCCACATGCCAGATGCGTCACGCCGAAACTGCACCCACCCCATTGCCAGCAATGGGGAAAAAAATCACAATACATTACGTAACGTCACGTGATATCATGAATTTGACATGCCTGTCCTAAGGGATCACTATGGAAACATGTAATGGAGCTAGAATCCTGAATATGTTGCTGACCAGTTCTCATTATCCTTGGCCATTGGCCATGCTAGCTCAGGCAGGTGGGTAATAGCATCTGGAAAGCTACAGGCTCCATACCCTTATTCCAACATTTTCTCCATTTTTCATAAATGTTTATAGAGTTTTTCTTCATTTTCATTCCCAGTACTCTCCTATGGATATTTTTCCTTATAGCTGATCTATTAAGCAATTATACTGTTTAATTAAATTTAACTGATCCCTTTTTGACAGTTGCAGCCTTGAAGTTAGAAAGTGTGGCAGTTGACTATAAACAGGTTATCTTCATTTCATTTGGCAAACATTCTATATTAACTTGGTTATTTCTTATTTTGCTCTGTGTATATCCTGTGTAATGGTTACTTACATAGTAATTATAAAAAATAAATGTAATTGTCTTAGGTATAGAAGATATCAATATAAAATCCACATTTCTAGATCAGGCTCTGTAGGAATTTTGAGTCCTTTATAGCATCTGCTACATCAGTTGTTTTCATATGCTATTGCTGATATATAAAATTAGCATTATGAACAATTATAATTCACTCCATTATTTGAAAAATGTCCGGAAGAGGCAGTAGTTCTTAAGTTTCATTATAAAATCTTCTTACAGGATAACATTTAATATGTTTATGGTCACTGAAATAAGAAACACTGTAATAAGAACCATTCCACACTAGAGACAACTATTGGTTTCCATTTCAACACATTTCTAAGTGAATTCAATTTTACTAATACATTTATTAGAGTAGTGCATCTGCTTCCAAAAAAACTTTGGTGCATACCAGCTATGAATATAGCACATATCTCCAACTTTTTAAAGCGGAGTCATTTTTTCCCCCACAATCATGTGACAGCCACCCAATCCTAGGAAAAGACATAGTGATTTTAATGAGGAACAGATAGATTTGATAGAAGTGCTAATCTAAAGTACTAAGATTTACTAATGCAGAGCATCCTGAAGTGAAAGAGCCCACGTTATGAACATATTTTGATGATACACATGTGGACAAAGAGGTGGGGCTTTTATCACATGCAATCATTATCTTGATTTTCATGCGCCACGCTCCTAACACCACTGATTTAGTTTTGAAAAGAGGGATCCGTTGATCAAGTCATGAAGCATCGTTCCAAATTATCTCCTTATGATGGTTTAAATACACTGCGTTGTCTTTAACCTGGAGTTATCCTTTTCCTTTTCAGCACCCTCCTTGATAGGTATGGTCAGGAAGGACTGGGCTTCTCAAAACAGCATTGCCCTCTCATGGCAAGAGCCTGCTTTTCCTAATGGAGCCATTCTGGACTACGAGATCAAGTACTATGAGAAAGTAGGTCTTGAATACAATAAAATAAAACCCTTGAATCAGCCTCCTATTCTAACATTTCCCCCTTTTTGTACATCAACTTACAGTCTAGCCTATAGCTGTTTACTTTTATGCCAATAAATTGGCATTTTAATTGGCAGATTCACTTTCCAGACAGCTGATATTTTCAGGGTTTTTTTTTTCATTTTAGATTTTGTTCATTAAGAAATTGATTCTTACTTTGGTTTGGCTGTACAACTGACAACCTGCCTCTAGTGGGTCTGCTCAGTGGTGAACTCAGTTTATAGTAAAAAGTTCCAACCATGACTTCATGACATGCAAAATATCACACACTTGGAAAAAAGAAATAGCATCTTAACCACTTGAAACTGGCAATGAAAATTAATTATTAGTTTTATGTACAACTTATCAGTTAACATATTTATGATATTAATATGTCACACTATAAAAATAATTTAAAATTATATTTTTATTCCGACTGCTAAAACTATAGGTGTGCTTTTGAGATATGACACGTCTTTTAATTCTAACAAAACAGAGAATGCTGATCATTATCATTGCTTTTCAACTCCAATGTTGAAAAAAAAGTCCATGATATATACACATCAGTCTTCCTAAACTATGTTGGCATTATAACACCCAGAATATCAGCAAACAGCCATGCTGGTTGTGTATACTGGCTATTGTATTAGACCACCAGTTTGTAGGAAGTCTCTGTAAAACAGATTTGAGTATTGCTGTTTTTTATTGTTTTGATTAAATACAAATATTTAATTTGAATCTAAAAGTAGATCACGTATTATATAGAGGTTAATTATGTGTCTATGATGCAAACAGTATTTTTTTAAAAAATACAAGACGTAAACACCAACATATATCAAAATACAGCATGGGATGGTTTGATTTTGAGGTGCCTGACTCCAAAAAGATTCTGAGCTGGTTACAGTTTTAAAACAGTACATAATATAAAATAAAACATAAAATTACAAACATTTTAAAATGAACTTAAATACACAATGGAAATATATTTTCCTATTTCCTCTTCCCACCTTCTATCCTCTGTGATCCCCTATTCATCCCAGAGCTGTTTTACAGAGTCAGGCAGAGTTTCCAAACTTTGTGTGGTTAAGGATGTACTACAAGAAAATATGATATGCACTATTTTCTTGTCCCTCTTTCTCAACTATCCCTCATTATAATCTCATATTGTTTAGGAGTCTCTCCCATCCCCACAATGGGGCTGCTGGAATTTTCATTTCTTGAGCTCATTTTGACTCAAAACCATCTTGAAACAAAATGACAGTATGTAGCTAATGATTTTGAAGTGTCCTTTCTCTCCACTTTTCTTAGAGCAGTTCAGTTAACAGACTATACTTTTGTATTTCTTCTGAGCAGTTATTAGTGTTATAATCTTCTGGAGGAATACATCTGCTGCTGGTAAATGTATGTAAGTTATAGTAAATATTTGGCTCAGTTGACAACATCTCTCTGAGGGAGATGGGCAGTCTAGAAATATGAAATATAAACAAACAAACAAATAAATAAATCTTATATTTGCAGTGACCTTATATAAACTAAATGTATCTTAATCAGTGACTTAAAATGAAAAGATTTCTGGATAGAAATACCTTGGTTTTTTGTCAGTGGTAGATATCATGTCCTTTCAAGCATATTCAAGCAAATTAGAAATGAAATAATGTCAGACATATTGTTGTGTAAATATAGATTTCCATTACTTAACACTCACGAATTCACAATGCAGTTTATTACACCAGCAAAATCTGTACTTGTTAATATAAGCTACATGACTACATATAAACCTTTATATGTAGTCAGATCCTTGGCTATGTATAGCAATGTACAAAAAGCAAATGTGTTAATTATTTGTGAAATACTATTCAGTCTAGAACTTAATTCAACACACTGTAATGGACCCAATTATGCAAATAGAAAGTTAGGGAAGAAGACCAAAAAATGATGTAGCATATAATATTAAAATGTTATAAAAGAAAAGTTGCTTCTGCTAAGAATATAGAGATGGAAAATATTTATACAAATTTAGGTTTGTTTGTCTCATATGAATAATATTGGGTGTTAAAAATAATAAATGAAGGACAAAGAGATATAAGTTATCACCTTGCTTTTTCAAGTCAAACCTTTTTGTTTTATTAAGAAAACTTAGTCATTTGTGTACTGTGCAAATTCACAACCCAACTAAGCCCAGTTAACAAAATATAATTCCATAATCATTGTAGACTTTACCAATTAGTATAAATCAGGGGTGTCAAACTTGCAACGTCACGTGATGTGTCGCAACGTATCATGACTTTTTGTCCATTGCCGGCAATGGGGTGGGCGCAGTTTCGCCATGACGCATCCGGCAGTTTGACATCCCTGGTATAAATGTGGAAGAGGCTGAATGCATCCATTTTTATCACATTCTGTATAGTATGCTTATGATTATTGAATGTAATATTGTGTTCTTCTGATATGTCAGACCAGAAAAACCAGACCCTTCAGGAGCAAAATTATCTAATTAAAGAGTAATAACCATAGTGGTATCATAAATACCATTTAAAAAAAGATTTGATGGAGAAAATCACAAATGACTTAATATTACACTGCATATTGTTGGCCCCCTAGATGTCACCCAATGTAGAGGACAGATTAGAATTGGAATTCTAAGTGACCTAATGGTGTACACCCAGATTCCAGAGAGTTTTTGGTGATTTTGCCTACAGTTTGGTGGACAGTTGTATATTGCATCTGGAAGTTTTACATACAATGGCATTCTAGAAAAGAGAAAATAAAAGATCTAGAGAAAATCTTCTCTAAATCACAAAGAACATTAAATGTAGGATGTTGAATTCTGCCAAGTAAATATCATTATTGTGGGACAGACAAATATCTTGCAAAGATATTTGTGGATGGTATGAAGAGTCACTATTATGAAGAACAAAATAGTGGTAATGAGATAAATATGCCCTAGTGTAGCCTGAATTGAATATTCTCTGTTTACTTCAATCATGGCATTTTTAAACCTGGTATAAATAAAGTGAAGATTGGGAGTCTATTGTGAGCTACACAAGAAACTATTTGTTTCTTCTAAGATGAGGCAAGGTGGACAAAGGACACACCATGGTGTGATATGTTTACAATGTGTGGAAACATTAACTGTTTGGATTGCTCATGTACAGCATTGATAAGTGTTCCAATTGGATGGCCTAACAGGATGGATAGATGGATAAGTAGCTAGACAATATCACTCAAGCACATGAAACTAAAATGTAATTCTTATTTTTTCAAGATTTTCAGTTATTTCTAATATGTAATTTCATGTATCAGCTTATGCATGAAACTATAGACATCTGAAATATGGGCATACTATATGCAGAAATGACTGAAATAAACAGATTATTTACATCACTTTCAGTCACCTACTTCTGCATTACCTCCAAATTTGTTAAGAAAAGTATATTTTCACTCTTAACCGCATAGATTGATAGTGTTATCTTTCAGTGAGTCATGTTTCCCACTGACATTGCATTGAGGAAGGTTTAATGGACCTTTTATTTTGTTTAAATATAGAAGTGAGTCACATTCTATTTATTCTATTCTCCTGCACAGCAGCTAACTTAGTTCTTATCATTATCTAGAATGAACTACGGTACTAAAGTTATGGCATGTTGAAATAAGTCAATATCCAACTATCATTCATTGAGATCAGTGGTGGGATTCAGCCAGTTCACACCAGTTCGGCAGAACCAGTAGCTAATTTTTTGTTGCTCAGGCCCAGAATGGACTTCTGGAAGCAACATTCACACAGAGAACTGGCTGTTCACATATTTGAATCCCACCACTGACTGAGATGCCTTTTTCAAAAATAATTAAATTTAAAATAAGCCATGGATTTGGATTTGGATTTGAAGATATTTGCACATTTTAGCAATTACATGTTTATCATTGATACACAATTGTACTTCAGATTCTGTCTTACTTTGCTCCATACCATAATTATTTTTACCTGTTTTGAATCTTTCTGATAACTATAATTGAGAAAACCATTGACAACTATATCCCTCTGCCATTAGTTGCTCTCTTGATTTAATTTTATAGTGGTTTGTAGAGTATCTTGTAACATTAACTGTAGTGTAAATTAAGTTCAATTCATGCTCTTGGAAAGTAATAAAATATGGCAGATAAAAAGACTCAGTTTCACCATCTGAGCAGAAAATGATAAATATGCCTTAATTCTTGTTTTGGCAGTTCTCATTGCTTTTCCACAGTATGAAGGATTGGCTTCCTAATTTATTTTCAAATAAAATAATACCCTTTAATGTGTCTTTTATCATAGAAGAGGTGAAACTTCCTGTAGCTGTTTTACCCCAAGGTAATACAATTTATAGAAATACAGGGGAAGCTTTCTAATTTTAGAAGCTATTATCTCCAGTCACTGAACTATGGGGATATTCAATAAATCTATAGTCAAAGATAATTTACTGTGGAAAAACATAATAGTAGTAGCTTACACAAAGGATTTCAAGTCCTATTGCCATGTAATAAATGTTTGTTTATAACCAGTTTAATTCAGACAGGTAGGTTTAAATCCAGTGGAAAAAAATTAACTTCAGATTTATAAGATCCAGAGATTACCTAGATAATTAATGTGAAAGATCTTAAAACAGTACTTGCAGTGTTTTGAGCATTTTATAGGAACTGTTTGTCATTATCTTCAGGATTGCTTTGTTTCCTTTTGTTCATTTCAATGCTCTGCCACATTGGGAATTGGGATTAATGACATAACTTCTATTATTTGGGAGCAATTTCATAAACATGCACGACTTAGTATTTGACATATTGATTCCAAAGCTTTCATGTAGGAAAATTGGCATTAATGGAGTGATATATACAGCTGAAAAGGAGTAATCAATATTTGAGCCCTTTTAGTATTTTACAGGGTATATTTTCACCTCAGCTATTTCTATTTCAGCTATAGTTTCTTCTAAATCTGTACCTTTCCATCCTATTGAACCTTGTAAGACCTTATAATCCTTTCCAAACTTCCTTCAAATTAAAATCTAAATTTTAATATACCTTTTTTAAATTTTTTGTTATGACAATCGCTTGTTCTGTTAATTATGGTAAGCTAGAAGCACCACCTGCAGTCTATTTTGTTTCCATTCCCATTTATGTTCATTTTGCCTTTTGTCTTCTTTCTTCTTCCTGCTATATAATTCAGTTATAATATTATTAAACTGCAGTTGACCCTACTCAGTTATATGCATTACTAATCCATCATCCTCTGGCAGTTAGTTATGCTAAAGCTCTGGATGGAAAACAGATAAAGAATTTTCAAAGGAAAAATACATATTCAGTAATTTCAAGGAACAAAAGTTATTTTCTATATTATTTACTTATAGGTATAAAGAAGAGATGTTAAATCTATTTGGATCTCTATACCCTGCAACCAACTTTACTATTTAAAATAAATCATCATCTAAGGAACACAAACTCTTTAGTTAATACCATGTTAAAATAGGATAACCTTATTTGTAAAAAAAATATTACTGGAAAAAAATATGGAGAGAGACAGAGACAGAGACAGAGACAGAGAGGCAGAGGCAGAGACAGACAGAGAGAGAGAGAGAGTCAGAGACAGAGACAGACAGAGAAAGAAAAAACGCTCATTTTCTAAGCAACAATGACACTCAATCATATTCAGAATTTGCAAAAGTACACGCAAAGGTAAATAAAGAGGAAAGCTATCTCAAAAGTGTAATTTATTATCTATGTTTATTTTCTTTATGTCCTTTTTGTCCCTTCAAGTAGCTAATGAATATAGTCTCTTCAGCAGGTGTCCGAGTAATTCTTTTTTTGTAATTTTCCCAAAACCTAATCCGACTCAGACTGATGGCTCATACTGGGTATTATTAAAATCAACAGACCAATTTTAACAGCCACTTGTTAAGTTCATTTCACTCATTTTAGCCATCAAGCACCATTTGTATTTCCAACCTCCTCCCTTCCAACCTTCTCCACCTGTTAATGTCAGCATATTATCTAATATGGTTATTGCCCGTCTGTGGCCCCATCTTCTCCTACAATAAGGTTCCTATGAAAATCTAAAGTAAGCTCTACTCTCAATCCCTTATCAGTTAAGTGAATACAAACTGTTTTGTTTAGAGATCTGCAAGAATACATGCTTATTTAAGTATGTGAAGAGCCAGTTAGCTTCTATGGAAAAGAATTGGATCATCAAAGAGGAAAAATACATAGTTTAAATCCTGAAATACAGGCTAGATGAATCAGAAAAATTGCACAAGGGAGTATTTTGTTGGAATTCCATTATTTTACTCTCTTTCATATTCCTGCAAGGAAAAATGGTTATCTGTGTGCTGCATCATATCACTTAGCTTTCTAACTATATACTCCTCAACATATGACTGGTCACATAATGACTGTTAAAATTACAATGACCTTGGAAAGTACATGTTCACTCTTAACTGCATGGATTGATAGTGTTCTCTTTCAATGAGTCATGTTTCCCATTGTCATCGCATTGAGGAAGGTCCAATGGACTTGCTTTCATTTTGTTTAAATGTAGAAGTGAGGCTGATGGGATTCCACAGGATACATTGAGCATATTATGATATATTATGGTAATCAGAGTGTTGAAGTGAAATGTTATGCGTTTTTCTTTTTGTTTATTTTCCTTATGTTGTTTTTTTATTTAATCTTAACTCTTTCAGGGTATTTAAGACAAAATGGACTTTCAAGCCCAGCAGAGCTTAATAGACCTATTTTAATAAGTAAAATGAAAGCAATAAAATGAAAGAATTTCAGTTATGCAATCAGTCTGGATACTTGCTAAAGCAGAGGTACCCAACCTTTTGGGCACCAGGGACTGCTTCCATGGAAAGGGGTTTTTTTGCGGATCAGAGGGTGCATGGTTTTGTGTGCTGCCTGCATCCCACGGATGGAGCTTTGCTTGTTTGTGTGGACTGATTGCTGGCATGCCACGGCCCAGTACTAGTCCACGAACTGGGATTGGGGGACCCTGTGCTAGAAAGCTTATTTTCTTTGATTATTATTAAAGGTTGTATCCAGTATCTGCCAACAAAATGAGACTTTCTTAGGGTGTCAGCTAATATTTTTTTCCTACTTCTTTTCAAGGTAGGAAATAGATATTATGCTGGGTTCTGAAGGATCGGTGGTATTGGAGCCACATTCTCTTTCACTACAAGGTTATAAGCTTTAAGAGTCTGGTCGCTTTTCAGTGATACTATAAGCTTAACACTTGTTGAGCAGGCAAAATTTAATTGCTTTTTGGGAATAGCATACTATTATGTTCTGGTTTGTATACTGTCTTTATATGTGCATAAATATTTCATATTTTCCTTGTTCAGTTTACCAATGGATTGCTATTGCAAAATGTAATAATATGCTGGAGACTTCATTAAAAATAAATAACAAAATAAAGACACCCTATAGGACAGGGATTTTTTAAACTGTCTATCCTCTTTTGAATTATGAACATGACTGATCATTTAATATTTTCCCCAGTGCTTCATTTTCCCTGAACACACCAACTTAATCATATAGCAGTTGTTACATACTGCTAAGATAGCGATGATGCACTATTTCTCTGGAGCAGCTTGAAAAACTTTGCCATGCTATAAATATCTTCACTTTAGTTGCATAAGATTAGAGACAGTTCGGCCAATTTTATTTACAGAGCTTCATATTTCAAACCTGCAGTGCTAATACAACAGAATCCCTTGGTGGGAGGAGAGTTCCTTTTTTCTAGAGGTTTTTTTAGAATTCATTATTAAATCTAATATAAAACATCAGTCATAAAATGCCTTTTCCTAATTAATACACTATATTTATGCTTTATCACAGCCCTTCCCTAGTGGGTACTTCTTGATATTTTATTATTCATCTTCCAGCATTTCCTAGGTTGCCCTGAGAATTCTGAAAACTGAAATGTAAATGATAGCACTTAGGTATCGATTATATGACAATTCTTTTCTAAGCAAAATTATGATTTAGTTATCATATTGAAGTTAAGGTAAGGCTGAAAAATATAAAAAGCAAAGAAATTAAAAATGCAATTATGTGATGAACTGGAAAAATATAGCTATTGTTATTAAGCATGTAAATTGTTTTGCCATATCTCTTATCCCTCAGAGCCTCACAAACTCAAAAAATGATCTAGTTTGACTTGTTACCAAATGAAATGTATAGAAACATTTTTTTCAAACTCACATTCTTCGAGCAGAATAAAAGAGGAAGCAAAGAAATTCTCAAAGAATAACAAAGCACTGCTTTTCCTATCAATCTTGCAACAGTGGTAATGGCTGGAATGCCTCTAAAAATAATTTCACTCAAGAATTGTTACTACACTTATTTTGAAGGGAATCCATTATAACCTATGAAAAATACACATGCTTTTAGTTTACCCTAGAGAGTTGATTTCCAGTGCTGCTTCAATAATAAAATATAAATCTGCAAGATAATTGTATGCATAAGAACACATTTCCAATCTAAGAAGATAATAACCCCATTTCAGAGTTACAAGCAAGAATACAGAGTTAATTTTCCTTTCTTTTACCCATAGGCCTACCCACGGATAGTGCCAGCATTTTGGCACTACCTGCGGGTAGAAGTGAGTAGCAGACATTGGAATATTTCCATATTTATGCATTATGTTTTAGTAGTTATTTCCAATCTAAATATATCCATGATTTAGAGTGTATAATCACCATTTTGTATAAATGTAGTTTTGTACTAATTTCATATTATGTTGTCTAATTACTAACTCTTGAATTCACAATTACTCAACTCTTGCTGTATAAGAAACACAGACATTTCTTAATATATAGCTAAACTAAGCCTGTGCCACACCCATAGTGATGGCTTTTAGCCTTTGAATGAATGAAATTTGACATTAATTATAAAATTTAGTTTTGAAAGGTTGCTAGTATGTCATGTGCCATTTTTTCTTCTTTTGTCCCTCAGGAGAATGAACAGCTCAGCTATTCTTCCACAAGGTCAAAGGCTCCAAGTGTCATTGTCACAGGTCTCAAACCAGCCACCAAGTACATATTTCATATCAGACTCAGGACTGCAACAGGATACAGTGGCTATAGTCAGAAGTTTGAATTTGAAACTGGAGATGAAAGTAAGTCTCAATCAAAGAGTCTAAATCCTTGTATACTTGACAGAATTAGTGTCTGATGTTACAAAACTAGCCATTGCGAATATTAGGTCTAAACTGAATTACTGATTGAAAATGTTTATGTCTGTATGTATTCACATGAGTTTATTTATCACTCAGATCCCAAGATGTTAGTGGTTGAGTTTGATTTGAAACATGTCCTTTAAATGTGCAGAGTTTAAAAGAAAATCCTGAACTTTAATCTTATCTATCTATCTATCTATCCAATTTATTGGCTACTCATTGTCAAGGTTCCGACTGATGAAACCAAATAAAGCAGAACTCCGAGGCTTGACGTTTCCTCAAAGCACATGTTTATTAGACACATAATATTGGCATGGTCAAAAGTGAAACCAACTCTAAACTGTCCTCCAGGGATTCAATGTAACTAGATGTAACATTCCCTTCCCCTCTACTATGCTATTGATCATGCTACCCAATGAGAGCAATTGGTGGGCTCTGTGACACTTCTTGCTCCTCCTTCCAACACTTGTGGGAATAACCTTGGCTCCCATGAGACCGCTTCATGTTTTGTCTAGCAATACTTTCCTTTTCCTTTTCCCCCTTCCCCCCAACCTATGTGGTAACTTAGAATAACAAAGATGGCTTCAACTAGGTTCATTTCAGAAGTTGACATCCATCTTATTACAGGGTAACTCTCAGTAGCTTATAATATTAAAAATATAAACCTATATAAATAAAATACTACAAAACTATAAAAATAAAAAATAAAATAACTAAAATTGGGGAGGGAGGGAGAAGGTTGAGAGGGGGGCAGGAGAGATCTGATATTAGTCTATCAACCACCCTCAACATGAAATCCCTCCTTTGGAGCTCCAAGCCAGCTAGCAGAGCCAGATTTTTAGGCTGTTGCAGAAGGTGGATTGGAGCAGATCTCCCTCTTGGGACAAGATGTTCCAAAGGGGAGGCACATGGCAGAAAAGGCTTTTCTCCTGGACCCTGAACCTGGAATACTTTGGTCAATGGGGCACACAGCATGGCTTCCCTGCCAGCACAGGTGGGACAAGCCAATCCCAGTGGGATGAAATAATTCTTTAAGTAATCTTTACTTACTTTATTTCTTACCATGGAATTTATTAGGTTATTTTTGTTGGTTTGTTTTTGAAGTTCATCATAATTAGAAATCCATTATCTTTGACAAACTATCACTGATTGATAGTTTGGTGGCACACTGTTTAGAATACAGGCTAACTCTATCCACAGCCTAGAGTTCATTCCTGGTGAGACTCAAAGTTGACTCAGCCTTTCATTCTTCTGAGGTTGATAAAATCAGGACCCAGATTGTTGGGGGCAATATGCTGGCTCTGTAAACCATTCAAAGAGTGCTATAAAGCACTATGGAGTAATATACAAGTCTAAGTGCTATTGCTATTGCTGTTGTTGTTGCTATTATGGATTGTGTAAATATACTGGAAATTTTATATGTTATAGTCTTGAATAGGAATAATCATTGACCAAAGCTGAGCTTTACCAAATAATTTAAATCAAAGTCACAATTTTCTGAATGTTAAGAAAATTTTCCTGACTTCCAATTTGATGTCGCGGTGTAACAAGTGCAGGAAGATGGGGCTCCATCTTCCATGTTTGATTTTGCCCTGCTGGGGACCCTAAAAAGGGTCAAAAGTCACCCCGGAGAGGCGACAAAGAAGGAGGAGACCCTCGTTGATCATAGAGGGGTGGCAGCCCTTCTGTTTGATCTGAGGAAGCCTCCAAACTGGTGGAGGAAAGACTGGCTACATTTGTGTAGCCAGTCAGAAGCTGCTGACAACCAAAGGAAATAAGCACTAAAGAGCAACTTTTGAACAAAGTGGATGAAACTGGGTGAGATTCTATCCTCTCTTTATAACTTTAAGACTTTTTCCTGGAAAAAAAAAAAAGCCCAAAGCAAAGAATCCTCCCCAATGAGAGAGGGAAAGGGAGTTTCCCCCCTATTCCCTCAGGAGAAAAAAAAGTGGCAAACTGCTTGGGGGAAAATGGAGAAAATTATAAGATTAATTTGGAATCAATATAGATATATAGTTTTGAAATTGGGGACTAAAAGTGTTTTTGAGACTTTTTTAGAAAAGAGACTTGAAAAGCTTGCAATATAAGTTTGAAGCTGGAAGAAGATGTTAACAACATCTAATGGCACTACAATTTATTATGCTTAAAGGAAATTTGACCCGAAGCCCAGACTCAGATAAGACCTTGGGTGTCCCTGGAAACTTTCATTTTTGAAGACTGCAGCTGGAGAAGGAAAAAAAAACTCTTGGGCTGCTTATGTCCGTGGCAGATACAATAAACTACTTTGAAATTGGCTTCTTGGATTATGAATATAAATACTAACTGACTTTTAGAGCTGTGTCGTGGAACTATTCCCCTGTAGAAGAAACAGACATGACTGATCAAGATGAAGGAACACTTTGGATTATAAACATTTGATTGATGAATAACTTTTAATTGTCTTTTTTCTCACTGGACAGAAAGGATATGTTTTTCATTGGACAGAAAAACCTGGACTTTGCTTATATTTATTTAGGGGAGGCTTAAGGATGGACTGATAGTCTTAAATGGTAAAAAACCATCTCTAACATTTGTCTCCAAAACCCTCAGCTTCACATACCAACAAGAAAATGTTGATGAATCTCAGAAATAAATTCTTTCTATGTTGAAATCAATACAAGAGACAATTTTCTTAGCTCATGATGAGACTAAAAATAACGCAAAGGAGATAAAAGAACAACTTTCTAATCTAAACGTACAAATTCATAAAATGACTACAAAGAAGGAACCAGTAACCCAGAAAATAGAAGGAAAATTAGAGGAAGCAGATCCAAAGATGGAGGACCTAAAGGAAGGAATTAACAGACAGACACAGACAAACGAAGAATTAGAAGATGCAGCGATAATACTGGAAATGGAAAAGATATCTTACTTGTCAAGATCTCAGAACACATTTGAGGATAAGGAAGAAGAGCTGATTAAACAGAAGATAAAGCTATCAGGAGAACTGTGGAAAATTGGAGAAGGAGGGAGGATGTTTAATGAATAAAAATGGGCTGAGGATTCTTCCAAAAATACTTTAATCAAATTGCCTTTGTTACTTCAAACAATATACACAAAAATAGAGGAAGAACTACTTGAGGACTCAAATGCATTGGAAAGTTAGTTGGCAAAGGAAGAAAGCCAGAGTAAGACTGAAAAAAATAGAGGTTTTGACCAATTAGACGGGACATTACATTATTAAATAGATGTTTGAACATTGCTAAGAGAATAGATAATTGTTAGAAATAAAAGTATTACTATAACTAGAAAGATAGGATATGCAACTAGAATACTATATTTTGGTATGAGAAGGGAAATATGAAAATGCCAAGAAGGCCTAATAAGAGAAACTTTTGGTTACCCAAATATAATTTATTATGAGAAAATGATCAGTGATGGAGACAGAATATTATATTATTAAAGAGATGTTTGAATATGGTTAAGAAAATAGATAACTGTTAGAAATAAAAGTATTATTATAACTAAAAGGATAAGATTTCTAATTAGAATATTATATTTTGTTATGAGATGGGAAATATGAAAAATCTAAAAGGGTTTGAATAAGGGAAGCTTTTGGTTACCCAAATATAATGTATTATGAGAAAATTATAAGCGATAGAGATATTTTGAACATTGATGGGAATTTTTTTTTTTTAAAAACAAGAAAAACAGGATATCGATTGAACAAATGGATTTTAAGTGCAAATGCAATTGAGATATGTTTTGGCTAGAAAAGATATTATAAACTGACATTATCGATATTATGTATAATACCAGAAAAATAATTCCAGAAGATGTCTATATTTAATTGTATATGTATTAACAGTAACAAAAATTGTATTTCCCAATGTGAAAAAATGCATACCACCGGAAGAAGAGCAGATCAAGGAAGCACTGGATGGTGTAGTATTGGAACTAGACTGAGAAAGTTAATATGTACCACTGAATTACCAATGGACCCAGAAAACACATTGTTTATTAAGTATTTATGATTGTAAAAATAGAAAATTAATAAAATGTTTACAAAAAATAATTATTTTTCTCCATTTTAATGCATTTTAATAATTTTTTTTAAAAGAAAACTTTCCCAAAGTGCCCACTGCCAGTAATTTTTTTCTTCTCTTATGCCTTAAATCCAAATAACTGATTAAGAGACACAGCAGAAGGATGGAATTGGAGCTACAGTCTCCAAATCTTTTGTGTGGAAATGATGCTATACATTTTATTTAATTCAGCCAAAGCCGAAACAAAGAATATGTATGCAGTATTTATGCTACTATATATGAAACTAAAAGTATACCTCAGGAATGGATAGTGGAGAAATTGGTATATAAAGATTTATCATGAAGGAGCAAGAACAATTTGTAATACATTCATAATTTGTAGTTACCTAGCTTATATCTAGAACGTTCTTAAAATGTCCAAATATTTTAATTTTAAAAAACTGATAAAACCTATATGTGTTATATAAATTATAAATGATATAATTAACTAGTTATTTAGATTAAAATTTTCTCAAATCTCAATGTAAAAATTAAGCTACAGATTATGACTTCAGAAGATAAGGCTTTTGAAATAGTTACATACAATGTACAGAGGTTTCCACCCCAAGACCAACACTCAGAAGCTGTACCTGGCAAGAAAATAAACAGACATGATTTGATGAGTGGCAAAAATCCTGTCTAGATAAAACCTATAGAATCCAAGGATGTATAAATAAGTTGGCACCCAAAGGTGAATTGCCAAGAGAATGCCTGAGATAGTAACAGACATGGGAGAAAAATCAAGCAGAGGTAGTACTATAGCAAATCAAGACCCTGCATAGAGATAGCTGAAGATGGTAGACATTGGGGATGTGGCTGGAATGTCTGAACTAAAAGACAGCGCTGTTACATTGATCATAGCAGCACAAGAATAGG